GGCCAATAACGGCGCCGATGTTGATCGCGCCCGCCGATAACGATGACGATGTCATCGCGTCGGCGATCAAGGTTCTTGGGGTAATTCGACATGCGCGCGCGGCCGACGCGCGTGAGTGGCCAGCGTGGTATGATTTGACACAGATCGTCCCCCCCAGCACGCGCGCAAGGGCTCGATTCAGTTCGACATGCGGCGCGAGAGGCCCGCGTGGCAGAATGTAATGAAAATGTGGGAAGAAACCGCTGGTATTCTTAAGAAACCACAAAGCCGCGAGCGCATGTTTCTTTTTCTTTGGAGATTGAGGGTGGACAACTATGTGCTTTGATCTGTTTTCGGGACACTGGTTTTTGAAATCCTTACGGTTGTTGAAGGATTTCGGCATGCGCGCGCGACGACGCGCGCGTGCACTTCGTCCAGTTTGTTGCAAGGGGTTCTTGCGACAGCACGCGCGCAAGGGCGTTCGAACGAGTTCGACATGCGCGCGTGCGAGGCATTCTTAGTAGAATGTTGTGAACATGTTGAACAACCAATGGTTTCCTTTAGAATTCGCAATAGCGCGGGTGCAGGCGTTTTTGAACACATTTGTTGCGAAACCATGTGCTCCATTTTTCGTGAATCTCGATGTTGAAATCGTTACGAAACATTCCGACATGCGCGCGCGACGACGCGCGCGTGTCACTTCGTCCTATCTGTTGCAAGGGGTTCTTGAAAACTGACGATTCCCCAAACAGCTTGCTGAACGGTGTGCTGTCGTGGTAGAAGCTAATTCCGGCCGAAGGAAAGCGGAGTCGAGACATCCTTAACACAAATCTGGTGGTCTGGGCTGTTTCGCCTGAGATATCATTACATCTCTCGTTTCTGACACGGCTGGTATTAACCGTTTCGCCTGAGATATCCTCGAAAATCTGGCATCCGGGACGCCGCGCGCGAAGTGGTTCGTGCAATTTCGCCTGAGACATCCTCGAAAATCTTCTAAGCTCCGAGATGCCGCGCGAGAGGCGGCCTGGCCCGTTTCGCATGAGATATCCTGGCGATTTCTGGACTCCGAGATGCCCCGCGCGAGGTGGTCCGGCCCGTTTCGCTTGAGACATCCTCGCAACTTGGGGCTCAGAGATGCCCCGCGAGAGGTGGTCTGGCCCGTTTCGCCGCAGACATCCTCGCAACTCAGGGCTCAGAGATGCCGCGCGAGAGGTGGTCCAGCCCGTTCCGCCTAAGACATCCTCGCGATCGGGGCTCAGAGATGCTTCGCACGAGGTGGTTCGGTCCGTTCCGCTTGAAACATCCTCGCAACTCACGACTCAAAGATGCCGCGCGAGAGGTGATCCGGCCCGTCTCGCATGAGACATCCTCACAACTCTGAGCTCTGAGGTGCCGCGCGCGAGGCGGTCTGGTCTGTTTTGCCTAAGACATCCTCGCAACTCGGGGCTCCGAGCTGCCGCGCGTCAGGTGGTCCGGCCCGTTTCGCATGAGACATCATCGCAACTTGGGGCTCCGAGATGGCCCGTGCGAGGTGGTCCAGCCCGGTTCGCATGAGGCATCCTCGTAACTCGGAGCTCCGAGCTGCCGCGTGACAAGTGGTCCGGCCCGATTCGCATGAGAGATCCTCGCAACTCTGAGCTCTGAGGTGCCGCGCGCGAGGTGGTCCGGCCTGTTTCCCCTGAGACATCCTCCCAACTCTGGGCCCCGATGTCGCACGCGAGGTGGTCTGGCCCGTTTCGCCTGAGACATCCTCGAAACCTTGAGCGCTGAGATGCCGCTCGCGAGGTTGTCCGCAACGTTTCGCCTGTCGCTTCCTCGCAACTCTGGGCTCCGAGATGCCGCTCGAGAGGTGTTGCAGCCCGTTTCGCCTTGGACATGTGCGAAACTCTGAGCTCCTAGATGCCGCTCGGGAGGAAGAGGAGGTGGAGGAGTAAGAGGACTAGGACAAGATGGAAGGGAGGAGGAGGAGGAGAAGGAGGAGGAGGAATAGGAGGGAGGAGACGCTGCGGCAGTATTGAACCGTCGATGCGGTGGTGTTCAACACGGCCTCCGACCAAAACGCGCCATCCAGGGCGACCGGAGCGACAAGGAAAGACCATGACAACGTAGCCCCTTTTTCCACGTTTCTCGTCTTCCTTGTCCTCTCCCCCTTTCTTTTACAGTTGCTTCCGGGCTCACAGCATGGCGGTATACCCTCTGACAATGCCGTCTCGACAGCTCACTCATCGACCAGGTAAGGGAGGAGGGAGAAGGGGATAATTACGAGACCCTTAAGCGATAGCGTCCTGATAACCATGCATCACAAGCTTTTGTGCGAACCACACATATGATATGCAAACATCATGTTGACATGTTCCAACTTGTCGTGCCAGCCCGCACTGGACAGGGAGGCAATCGACCTTGGCAATCCTCATGGAATAAAAATCCTGTTTGGGGATGCTGCACTCAGGTCAGAAGTTGTGATGAACGAGTGTGCGCGCATAGTATTTTTTGCAGAGGGTGAGGAGGGGGGCAGACCGAAATACGGTTGGGTTGGGATGAGACATAACCATCTGTAAAATACAAACGAAAAGGTGGCCCGTTAATTCATGGGGGTAGATCCTACTACTCTTGTAGAAAGGAGAATAGATACTGTGCAATGTATGTGGCGCAACGTGTGTGATCTAATACATATTGTGCAATCTACGGTGAGCACTCTACGTGGTGCAATATATGATCCGCCATGTATCTCCCCCTGTTACTCGACGCCCAAAAAAACGCCGAGCTTCTCCCTGGGCTCGCCGCCGCTTAACACACGTCGGAAGCCGGCGTTGAGAGGCCCTCGCCGCGAGGCGCGTCTCCTTCGAGGTGCGAATCTCGTGCCGCAGCAGGCGGTACAAGTCGCGAGGGATAACCACCGAGTCACGCAGCTCCGCGTCGAGCGCCTCGCGGCGGCCCGCACGGCGCGGACGCCTCGACGACGCCGACGACGACGAAGACGGCTCGACGACGGCGGCGATTGCGACTGACGCATCGACGCCTCTGACGACGCAGACGAAAACGACGACGACGACGACGACGCCGCCGCCGACATTGATGATGACGATGACGATGACGCCGACGCCGACGACGAGAACCGCGACGGAGGCGCTTCCCCACCTCCGCGTCTCTTCCCGCAGCTGTCTCGGCTCCTGCTCCAGCATGCTCCTCCTCCTCCCTTTCCTCCTCCTCCTCCTCGGACATGGGTCAAGGGATCTATGAGGGCCTCCTTAGGAAGGCTCGAGGAACCAGTTTTCGGAAGATGTCCCAAGGATGTCTGACGCGAGGTCGCTGAGAAAGAATTCGTCTTCCTGGGGGTCCCAAAAGCCGTGGTGACAGACCGTACCTCACCGCACTGCTTCGGGGACCTTGGAAGGCCCCAAGCGCCTGAGATATCCTCGGAGAAACACAAAGCTCCCGAATCCGTTCAGAGACTTCCGACCCTCTCCAGCCTTTCAGGGGCCCCCATCTCTTGCGCGCTATTCCAAGCAGCTGGCTCTGCTCCAAATCCAGCGCCCTTTTGCATCGCCAAGTAGAGTGTCTCGGCCGTGGACGCAAGCACACCCAGCAACACGGTGCGAATCCTCCTGTCCTTCCTCCTGCTCCTCGTCCTCCCCCAACTCCCCATCCTCCTCCTCATCCACCTCCTCCGCGCTCCTTCACCACCTCCGCCTCCTCCCTTCCATTCTTGCTCCTCCTCCTCCTCCTGCTCCTCGTCCTCCTCCTCCTCCTCCTCCTCCTCCTCCTCCTCCTCCTCCCCTTCCTCATCTTCATCCGAGCTACGCATCCTCCTCCTCTTCCTCCTCTTCCTCCTCCTCCTCCTCCTCCTCCTCATCATCATCATCATCATCACCATCACCATCACCATCACCGTCACCATCACCATCACCATCACCATCATCATCATCATCATCACCATCATCATCATCATCATCATCAGCATCATCATCATCATCATCATCATCATCATCATCATCATCATCATCATCATCATCATCATCATCATCATCATCATCATCATCATCATCATCATCATCATCATCATCCTCATCCTCATCCTCATCCTCATCCTCATCCTCCTCCTTCCATTCCATTCCTCCTCCTCGCCCTCCTCTTTTCTTGCTTGAATTCTTCGGGCGTTGCAGTCCCGGGAAACCTGTTTTGGCACGGTGTAGGTGTCTCACACGGTTGTTTTTCAATGGGCCACTCCCTGGAATGAAAATTCGCCGGCCCAACGGGCCAGAGGCGTGCTAAGATCTCCGGTAACTGGTTAACAATTTTCTAGTTCGCGCGCGCGGGGCGGCCCCTGGGGGTCCCCGGACGAAAAGTACCCCGACCAGGTCCCGGCCGGTCCCCGGCCGGGTCCCGGCCGGGTCCCGGCCGGGTCCCGGCCGGGTCCCCCCGAGCGCTCCATGAGCGCACCAACAGGGCTCCGAGACGTCCCCGAGAGCCCCAAGAAAGGCCAAGAGGCCCCCAAGAGGCCCCCAAGATGGTACACGAGGGGTCCGACATGCCACAAGATCGCTCCAAGACGCCCAAGATAGCCCCCAGACGCCCCAAGAGGCCTCCAAGAGCACTCCCAATAGGGCCCCCGGAGGCAAAAATCATTGTTTTTCCATAGGTTTTTGAAGATTTTGGAGCTTCCACCTTTTCGGCTTCCCGACGCCCCAAGACGGCCCAAGAGGCCCCCAAGATCGCCCCAAGAGGGCCCAAGAGGCACCCAAGAGGGCCCCAAGATGGCCCAAGAGGGCTCGAAGACGGCCCAAGAAGCCTCCAAAACGGTCCAAGAGGGCCCCAAGAACGCCCCCAAAGGGGCCCCAGAGAGGGAACACGAAACAACATTTCGAGCCCTCGGCCCTAAGAAGCCCCTACGAGGCCCCTAAGAGGCCCCAAGAGGCCCCCACGGGGCCCTCAGGAGGCCCCCAAGAGTCCCCCAAATGCCCCCCCGAGCGACCCAGGAGTCCCCCAAGCGGCCCCAGGAACCCCCAAAGCGCCGCATTGACACCAGGCCCTCGGGCAAACGGCAGACATGAGACTGTATGGGCCGGCGGAATGAGCGAAGCGATTAAATAATCTCGGGTAGGGCTCTGACAGGAGGGAATCCAGCGCGATGATGTACTGCAACATATGTGATGCGCCTTGGGATTGCACTGGTCCTCCTCCTCCTCCGCCTCCTCCTCATCAGCATCAGCATCAGCATCAGCATCAGCATCAGCAGCAGCAGCAGCAGCAGCAGCATCATCATCATCATCATCATCATCATCATCATCATCATCATCATCACCACCACCACCACCACCACCATCATCCTCATCCTCATCCTCATCCTCATCCTCATCTCATCTCATCAGCATCAGCATCATCATCAGCATCAGCAGCTCAGCAATCAGCAGCAGCAGCATCATCACCATCATCATCATCATCATCATCATCACCATCATCATCATCATCATCATCATCATCATCATCATCATCATATCATCATCATCATCATCATCATCATCATCATCATCATCATCATCATCGTCATCGTCATCGTCTCGTCATCGTCATCGTCGTCGTCATCGTCATCGTCATCTCATCATCATCATCATCATCATCATCATCATCATCATCATCATCATCACCACCACCACCACCACCACCACCACCACCACCACCATCATCATCATCATCATCATCATCATCATCATCATCATCATCATCATCATCATCATCATCATCCATCTCCTCCTCCTCCATCTCCTCCTCCTCCATCTCCTCCTCCATCTCCTCCTCCTCCTCCTCCTCCCCTCCTCCTTTCAGTCCTCCTCCTGCTCTCATTCCTCCTTCTCTTCCTCCTCCCCTCCTCCTTTCATTTCTCCTCCTCTCCTCCTTCTCTGGGCCTTGACGATCTCGCCGAGGCGGCCAGTGAACTTGGAGTCCTGGGGTCGCCAGGCGGGACTGGCCGGGGTGGGCAGCGCGGAGCGCAGAGGGTAGAACCCCCCTCGCCGAGGGGGCTTTTCTGCTCCTCAGGAGGGGGCAGGAGGGAGGAGAGGGGGGGATCGGGATGAGAGGGGGAGGGCTAGTGGGGGGAGAGAAGGGGGAAGGGGAAGGAGGGAGAGGGGATGAGACCAGCTAGGTGCGCTCGCTCCGTATCTGGCAGCACATCCCTCCCTCCCATCCCTTGCAGTCCATTGCGCGTTCAACTTCTCTATCCGCGGACGCGTGTCATAGCCTGACCTGTGGAACCTGTGGGGCAGGTTGGACCTGTGGGACGTGTGCGATGTGTGGGACCTGCTATCTGTGACCTGTGGGACGTGTGGGACATGTGGGACCTGCGGGGCAGGTGGGAAACGTGGGACAAGTGAGACCTGCGAGATCTGTGGGACCTGTGGGACCGTTGGGACCTGTGGGAACCCTGCGAGACCCCAGGGATCCAAAAGGCGGAAGCGCCATTCTGAACGACGGGAGCCCAACACCGATCGGAAAATGAGGCCCACGCTGAAGCGGGAGCAAAATTAGTGAAACATTGACAACAATCGGATTGGTATTCAAAACGTGCGACAAATCAACGTTTTAAATCCTCGTCGTTACAACTAGTGTGCGGAGAGAGCGGGATATCTTCCGTACAACTTCAGGAGAGAGACGATAGTAGTATTCACATTCACTGATTGTGAAGAGAGGGAAGGAGGGGAGAGAGAGGAGGGAGATGGGGGGAGGGGGGAGGGAGGAGGAAGAGAAGAGGGAGCGAGGGAGCGAACGAGCGAGCCCTGGAAAACGTGCGCGCCCCGCCAGGGAGCCTCCACAGGGAGATCGCGAATTCGAGCGTGTGACGTTATGAGCGATGACGTTCTGGTGTGGCGAAGCCCCCTTCCTTGGGAGGGGTGGGGAAGCGCGCAGACATGGGCACCAACACGCCGTCCCCTCCTCAAGCCCCCACAAGACGGCCAAGGAGGCGCGCAAGCCGGCCCCAGATGCACCCAAGATCGCCTAAGAGGCCCAAGAGGGCTCCAAGACGGCCCGAGAGGTGTCCCAGCGTTTCGCGCATGGTGCACCGCGATGCGCGATCACCTTCGCACCACCGCGCTCTCGCGCCGCACCCACTGGAGACAGCCGCTCTGGCCCAGACCGCGCTGCATGAAGCGCGATTATCTTCGCGCCCCGGCGGTCCTGAAACTTGGCCACGAGCGAGGGGGGAAGCGAGGAGGAGGAGGAGGAGGCCTTCTCGGAAGGTGGCGGGACTTCTCAGAAGCCCTCGCGCCTTCTGAAAGGTCTTTTCTGCTTTGAAACTTTGGGGGAGGGCTGAGAAACGTCTCAGAAGGCCGGGGGACTTCCGAGACTTCTGAGAAGGCCCGCCCTTTCTCACTTCCCCTCCTCGCTCGCCGCAGAGAAACTACACGTCCCCAGCGGTCAACGGCTGTACCGGTCCTCAGCACCGCACGCGCTCGTCCCAAACGCTTCCAGTACCTACAGGCAGTCTGCGCGCCACTCACGGCCGTCGCACCCTGCCCAGATGCACGGGCGGAGCACTCGCCGCTGTCAGAGTACGACTCCTCTCGCCGCACACCTGCTCGCGTTCGTCTTGTCGCAGCCTCTCCCAGCTGCACGGGTGGAGGGCGGCTCCCTCTCTCTCAGAGAGGGGCTATCGCCAGAGACCGCCCTGCTCTGATGGCACGACAAAGTGGCAGCCTGCGCCAATTACACACATGAGAGCAGGCTCGTCTACTTCATTCTGGAGATCCCACTGGACACTTCATCGACCTCTCTTGTAGCACATCTTGGCAACTGGCTGCAATAACGACATGGACGGAAAGCGATTCGAAATGGGGCTCCCGCCTGAATGGTAGGCCGATGGGGAACCCGTCATTCGAGACGGTGCTCACCCCAGCGAAGCCAACATGGAGGGACTCCGGACGAGAGGGTGTATTGCAGCATCGTTGATGTCAATATCCTCAGCTTTCTCTCTTCCTCATCCTTATCCTCCTTCGTCGCGATCGCGATCAACTACCCACCATACCCACGTCGTCACGAGACCTGACCAAAATTGGCCCCTCATCACAACAGGCAGGTGCCCGCCTTGCCCCCCCCCCCCCCCTCTGGCTTGGAATCGTGGCGCCATCGCGCGGGAGGTGCCCCCTTCCTCGACGCCTCTCGCAGATCACCGTACAGCAGCTCCCTCCCTGTCTCCCTGCGGTCATAAAAGTCTACACTGGCAAACAAGACCTTACGCCAGCCAAAAAGTGTACACTGGCCGCGCGGTTTCACCGGTCAAGTGAGCACTTCCACCTGCAAAAGGCGTTAAGCGAAACAAATCTAGTACTCGTTGTTTTGAAGCAGAGATTCCTGAGGTACACAGTAGACTGGCAATTAGAATTATGGATGTCTTTCATCATTTTTGACTAGGCGGTGAAATGACCAATCTGCCATATGTATTGACCACTTTGGGACACTGGTGATGGTCTTGATGACGATGCGATGATGGTGGTGGTGATGACCATGACCATGACAATGACGATGACGAGGACGGTGATGACCGTGGTGGTGGTGGTGACGATGACGATGAGGATGACGATGAGGATGTTGACGGTGATAATGAGGATGCTAATGATCATGATGGCGGTGATGATGCTGATACTGATGACGATGACGATGACGATGATGATGATGAGAATGGTTATGAAGATGCTGATGCTGATGCTGCTGCTGATGATGATGATGATGATGGTGATGCTGATGCTGATGATAATGACGATGACGATGATGATAATAATGATCGGGACCGAGCTCGGATCGAGCGCCTCGCGCGTCGAATGAGCGAAACGAGCGAGGAGGCGGCCAAACGGCCCAGACGATGATGTTGGCGATCACCATGATAATGATAAGGACGACCATAATGAGGAGGATGAGGATGATGAGGATGACGATGATACGAGAATGACAAAGATGACGATGAGGATGATGATGATGAGGATGCTGATGGTGATGATGATGGTGATGCTGACGCTGGGGATGAGGATGAGGATGAGGATAAGGATGATGATGATGATCTTCTTCTCCCCCCGTTGAGACTCCCCGTTCGCCTGATGAAGCACGGTGCACGAGCGACAGCCAACTGGAATCACGGTCGCGAGGCCAACGAAAAGTCGAGGCCCCCTCGATAGCACGAGGGGCCTGCTGCGCACTCCAAGGTGACGAGATAAATCGCGCGAGCGGAACCATCCGTCACGAAGCACTGGCCCCCAAACAAGCACTGGAGCGGCACTAGCGGCAGCTGGCCGCCACCGCCCACACGCTTGCAGGGCGCATTCAGACGCCTGAATGCCGCCCACTGCCGCCAAAAACGCCAGCGGTCGAAAACTTCAAATCCCACGAAGCTTCCGCTGATGGTGATGGTGATGCTAATGATGTTGCTGCTGATGATGATGATGCTAATGATGATGCGGATGCTGATACTATGCTACTGCTGCTGGTGATGATGATAGTGATGAGGATGCGGATAAGGAATAGGATGATGATGGTGATGGTGATGGTGATGGTGATGATGATGATGATGATGATGATGATGATGGTGGTGGTGATGATGCTGATGCTGATGCTGATGCTGATGCTGATGCTGATGCTGATGCTGATGATGATGATGATGATGATGATGATGATGATGATGATGATGATGATGATGGTGATGGTGATGGTGATGGTGATGGTGATGGTGATATTGATACTGATAATGGTTTCTCAGGAGTTCAAGGGATTCCCCTGAGGAGTCCCTCTGAGGGGCTCTCCTCAGGGATTCGCCTCAGGGATCCCCCTGAGGGGTTCTCCTAAGGGATTCCCCTGAGGGATTCCTCAGGGATCCTCCCCAGGAACAGGGATTCTCCTCAGGAATTTCTCCTCAGGGCATTCACTCAGGGATTCTCTTCAGGATTCCCCTCAGGAGTCCCTTGGATTTCCCTCAGAGATCCCGCAAGATTCCCCTCAGGGATCCCTCAGGGCCCCTCAGGAGCCTTCCGGATCCCTCAGTTGAGGCCTCCAAGGCTCTCCGTTGGAGCATGGGCGGAACATGAGACGTGGTTCTGCGGAGGCTCGGGATCGCGCACTCAGACAGCGGGTGAAAGCCCCATTCCGCCAGTGAAGGGTGCAATTTGGGAATGGGTGAGCGTGGGTGGCCTGTGTAGGCACGGTTCGGTTGGCGAGAGATCCACTTCGCCGGTGTAGACCTTTGTCTCCCTCACCCTCTGGCGGCAAGCCGGTCTGCTGTGCGTCAGGCCTCCTCCTGCCATCACTCGGACGTCCATTCCCCGTGCATGCTTCGGGTCCGTGCGTGCATTTGTGTGGCAAGATGGTCGAGGGTGTTCCTCGATGGTCCTCGCCGAGAAAATATACTCACGTCCGAGCGATGCCCAAGTCCCTGCCCTCTGTGTCCTCCCCGCCCCTCGGTCCCCGCCCTTCTGCCCCGCTGCTCGCCCCCAAAGTGGTCCTTCCGCAGGCGCAGCCGCATGTTGTGCGCCGCGGCGGGGACACCTGTGCAGGGATGGCCCTCAGCGCCCAGCGGGGTCGATGACAGCTACAGAGAGATCGATAGAGAGAGAGAGAGAGAAAGAGTGAAACTTTCGGAGGTCCGCGCGGGTGTCTCGGGTCGGCGTTTGACGCTCCCCCCCTTGCGCGTGGAGCGCGCCAGGGGCGGCGCCGGGGGCGGCGCCGGAGGCGGCGCCGCCAGCGGGTGCCAGCGCTGATCCAGGAAATACACGCGGACCTCCCACAGCTTGTGTTTACGATGGTTGTTCTGTTAGGGGGAAAATCGCTCTGGCATAACATCACTTCGCAGAGGCTCTCTCATTGCTCGTCCTAGATCGAAGAGGGCTGGGAACATACTGAACTTTGATGAGGAACCCTCCCACGTCCCTCCGCCGACGCCCCTGGCCCCCTCGTTTTCCAGTCCTCCTGCTCATTCTACGCCTCCTTTTCCTGTACCTCCTCCTCCTCCTCCTCCTCCTCCTCCGCCTCCGCCTCCTCCCCCTCGTCCTCCGACATGTACTCCTCGCCCTCCTCCGCCCTCTTCCACGCTCTTGCCGTCGTTCTCATCACTCCCGCTACCGTGAACCTCATCCGACAAAGGCCCTTCCAAAACCTTCCTCTCCTGTTTCTTCTGGGCGGCGGGTCCGGGGGGGGCGGGCCTTTTCAGAAGGCTCGGAAGTCCCGCGGCCTGAGAAGTTTCCCAGCCTGCCCGGAAGACACAGAACACCTCTCAGAAGGCGCGAGGGCTTCTGAGAAGTCCCGCCGCCTTCTGAGAAGGCCTCCTCCTTCTCACTTCCCCCCCTCGCGCGCCGCTGATCTTCCCCCTATCGCCCCCCCCCCCTGAAGCGAACCCGAGCTCTCTCGCGTTCCGCTCTCGCCGGCGCTCGTCGCCCGCGAGCGGCGAACGGGCTGCCCTCCCTCCCCCCCCTGCCGTCCCTCGGGGACGCGCCAGACTGGGCCAGCCACACATTTTGGAATGCCCGCAGTGGGCACCGAAGAGATGGGCAGGAAACCCAACAACAAATGGACCACGATCAAAAATGCTTCTCACGCGAGATGGCACAGCGAGCTTACGCGGCGGCTCACGCGGTTCTCCAGCACGGCCCGCTACAGTGGAGACGGGGGCGCGAATGGACGACCTTACGCGGGCAGCTTGAACGCCATGTCGGCGCAGTTGAACCCGTTTGTTTGCGTCGCTCACATGCTATCCAGAACCGACAGCGGCTACTGTTGGACAGTCAAACTTTCGCCTCAAAAAGGACGACGCCCGCGAGCGAGTCCGCTCAAAATGGGTAGGACCTGCTGCTGGTCCTCGTCCCTCTTCTTTCCGTATCCGCGTCGGTCGTACCGAGGGATGGCCCCTCGGGGACGCGCCAAGCCCCAGGGTCGGCGCGGACCCGGACCAGCCAAGGCCCCGTCGCGAACCCGGGCCGGCCCTGCGGCACAGTACAGTGGAGGCCAGTCCACAAGAAACCTGCCACAAGAAACCCAACCCTGAGACCCCAGGACGTCCGTTGATCTTCGGCGTGGGAACGTCACGCTTTCCATGGCAATACCATTGAAACCCAAGACGCCCACGGCACCCTGGAGGCGAGCAGGGCGTCTCTTGGCATGGGCCTCCACCGTAGCACACCAAACTCGGGCCGGCGGAAAGGCGGGGGAGGCGCGCTCGTCCCCGCGTTGCTCCCGGGCCCGAACCTCGGCCACGAGAGACCGCGGGGAGGACTGGCCGACCCCCCCCCTGCTGGCGCCGAACGCCGCGGACATCTGCTGTCTGGAGTGTCTCCATGCAGAGCCCCTGGAGTCCCTGAAGGTCTGGCCCGTTTTGCTGCCTGAATCGTTCGTGACGATCCCAGGGCCCTGGGAGGGCACCCGAGGGCGGAAATGAAAAAGCAGCTCCGTTTCGAACTTCTGGGCCTGGGCCCGTCTCCAGAGGAACAAGCACGATGCACATGAACGAACCCTGGGAGGTTCCCGCGGGTCTCTCCAATCGCCGCTGGATCCCC